AGAAAAAAAATCCCAAAGCATGCATAATGTACTGGTAAGGTACAGGAAGAAAAGAAAGCTAAATTGCAGCCATCAGATGAAAGGATGAAAGTCCATGTCCAGCTTGGTGACTATAGTTAATACCTTATTGCATATCTGAAAGTTTCTAAGAGGGTAAACCTTAAAGGCTCTCATCAGAAGAAAACAAAGTTGTAACTGTATATGGTGACAGATGTTAACTAGACTTATTGTGGTGATCATTCAACAATACATACAAATATCAAATTATCATGTTTTATACCTGAAACTAATATAATGTTATAGATCAATCATATCTCAATTTTTTAAAAGTATGGAAGGCAAAAGAAAACCGAGAGCAAAGAATGTCAAAAATAAAGGCTAAGGCCACTAAGTGAAAATGAGGCTATGACCCCACAAAGGTGAGAACAGAAAACAAACTGCTGCATTTGGCAGCACAGTCGTTGTTAACAGCTGCGACAGAAGCAGTATCAGTCATTTGGAGGGAAAAGTTTGATGTAGTTAATGTGGATGGATACACTAGATGTTAGTGAAATAAACCCAGGCAATATTTGAATCCATGAGATTAGATTAATTCATCCATTAAAAATGTTTAAAGAGCGAGGGCAAATGGAGCAGAGTTTAGAAAGCTATGAAATGCCAATATTTAAGAGGAAAGAAGAGGAAGACAAAGAGACAAACAACGTGAAAATAGAAGATAGAAAAGAATTAAGGAAAATAAAATAATACTCTATCATAGAAACCAAAGGAGTAGAAAATTTCAACAAAAACAGAACAAATCAAAGTGTCAGAAGTGAGCTCAATCAAATAATGAATAGAACTGATTACCAATGCCATCTCAGCTGGCGAGGAGTTTCAGTAATGAGGCACAGGCCTGCATTGGCCTTGTGAGGAGTAGGATTAGAGCCAGCTCTCAGTGTAGACAAACCAGATGAAGTAGGCCAGCAACAGCTAGCTTAATATTAGCCAGTGCTGGAATATACAGTGGTAAGGTTGAGGGTGAGACTAACATCAGATGTCAAAATAAGTTTAAAACACAAACAAACAAAAACCACAACCTGAGTAGTGACATTAAAGATGCCAACATTAAAGATCAGTTGTGGGATGGGAGGACAAATGAGTTTACAGAAAAAAATGCAAGGTTAGAGTAAGGTAACTGCTGAGTCAGAGTACTTCTTATATACGGAAATGTCTTAATATTCTGGTCCTGCTACTGCTCAAAACTGGTCTCTCCCACAGTACTCCATTCCCTGCCTTTCTCTGCTCATCCTATACTGCATCTTTGACCTTCCTAGGATGAGTCTTAACACATCTGGTAGCTCACTGAATTCCACCTGGACTAGGGCAGAGGATTGCAGAGGATTGGGCTGTAATTGCAAATAGAAAATTGAGGCCATCTTGTAAAAAGCACTGAAGAAATAAGCAAAAAGATATTGATTTGAGGTATTAAGTGTGTCCCGGGTGGGTAGGAGGAAGATGTCTTCAGCATCCCAGGAAAGATTTAAATATAAAGGTAACAGAGAAGGAATTAAATAAAGGCTAACTATAATGAGAGATAAAGGTAAAAAGTATAGATAGAAGTTAAAAAGTAAATCAAATTTTCAATCAACTGAAGTCGAGTATAAATGTTAAGGGATAGACCTTGAAATATGTATGTGTGTGGTTAGGTACAGAAAGTACACGAAGAGAGAACAGGGGAGTGTAAGTATAGTTATTACAAAAATATTAATATATACCATGGTATGGTTTATAACAAATACAAAATGTTTTAAGAAAGTAACTTAGGTAAAAGGATGAAAAATGTAGCAGAAAACTTTAAGTGCCTTCATTGGTTAAAAACCCAGTTTTATTCAGTTTCACCAAATGGTTATCTAATGGGAAATGATTGTGAATAAATGTCCATATAATAAATAATCTAGTATTTTAAGCTTTTAATAAAAATCTATTCTCAAATTTCAAAGCAAGCACTTTGCTGACAAGGAATTTTTTTGTCATAAAACATACTTTAAAGATTAAATCTGATAGTGCATACTGTTACTATTCTCCCCCGGGCTCTTTCTTCATGCTGTATTCCATGTGCTAAAATTCCTTGATGTGAGAATAAAGCTAAATGGATACTAAAATGATATTGAAGCATTCAGCTAACTTCTCGTGAAATATATGGTGCTTTTTGTCACCTGAAGTATTGATATTGACAACAGAGTACAGCCCACAGTCCCTTTCCTGCACAGGTGGAATTATGTGATGCTACCCCCCCCTCACTTCAGCTGTTCATTATGAAAAATAAATGGTTTAAATAGTCAGTTTGTGAAAAGTCAAAGGCCAGGGAGTGGAACCAAACAAATTAGTGTTCATGGAGAGTAAATGCATGCTTTTATTTACCTTTTGGTGTATTCTCACTAAATGAGCCACATAATTATTTATTTGAGGTAGGGTCCTATAACTAGCCCAGGTCCAGAACGATGAAGCATAACTATGGAACGGAAATTGATTCAGAATACTTTTTTTGATCCATTTACATAAAATGTCATAGAAGTAATGACAATCTCATGAATAATTGGGAATATATTATTTGAGCACACTAGAAAGTCATTAAATAAATTATTGTATTCTGAAACTTGGTGCACTAAATTCTATTAGAGCACAGAGGTCAGATAGTTTCTCAGAGTAAATGACAAATAAAACAAAATATTTATTTAACTACCTCAGTACTTTGCTTATATAAAAAATGGAAACTAAGCCAATTAAAATTTATTTTATTTGAAAGTGATGTACAGGAAAAAGGAGATGGGAAATAACAATCATGTTTGTTAAACAATAATAGAATGTAAACTTTTATTTTGAAATATTTTTATTCCCATTTAGTCATCAATAAAGATTAGTATTTTGGGCTCTGCACCCAATTCCAATGTGTAGAATAGGTGCTTTCTCCCCACACCACCAAGCAATGTATAGGACACCAGCCAAGTGTCCTATAAATCAATTCAATTCTGATGCTATCTACCTGGAGATAGTATCATGTTCCACAGGTACAAGGCTCAGTCCCACAAGACCGCTCTTCACTTCCAACTCCAATCACAAGTCCAGGTTATTAGCTGTGCTTCTGACTGACTGGCTGTAAATCAGAGGTTCCCAAGACCCCCTCTTTGTGTTCAATTAATTTGCTAAAGTGGCTCACAGAATTCAAGAAACCTGTTTACTCGGCAGATTATTGATTCATTAAAAAAGGATGCTAAAAGATATGAATCAACAGCCAGATGAAGAGACACATAGCGTTAGGTCTTGAACAAAGGTGTCTCTGTCCTCGTGGAGTTTGGTACAGCATGATAGCACAATGAAGAATTCTGGTTCACCAACGAAGCATTCTGGTTCCCTAACGTGTAAGCTCTCCAAACTTCCTGCTTTTGGGTTTTCATGGAGCTTTCATTACATACATTTGATTGATTAACTCATTGGTCGTTGGTGATTGATTCAACTTCTAGCCCCTCTCCCTTTCCTGGATATCAGAAGCTGAGACTGAATGTCCACCCCTCTATTCAGGATTGGTTTCCCTGGCAACAAGCCCCCATCCTTAAGCGCCTTCCAAAAGTCACCTCATTAATGTAAACCCCATTGTGGAAAGGGGCTTATTATGAATAAGAGGATACTCATTTCACTCTTATGACACTGAAGCATTTCCAGGAAATGAGGCAAGAGCAAGAGACAAAATATTGTAAGAAACTATGCTCCCATTGCTCTTGTCGCTCAGAAAATTCCAAGGGTTTGGGGAACTATGAGCCAGGAACTGTGGATGAAAAGCAAATATATGGGAGGAATATATATTTTAGTCACTTAAGTAACCAGGTATATATTTCTTACAGGTCACAATATCACAATTAGTTAATTTTTTGTTTAAGTTTTTTACATATAAATATATTTGATACATGTATATGTATATACACACATATATATATATATATAACACCTTCGATTAGATTCAGAAGTTAGAGGACATTTCTGTAAGGGCTAAACTGTGTCCAAGTGTTTATTCAGAATCTGTGAAGTGCTTGATGCATATGGCTTCCACTGTACAATTTTGGTATTGCCTTAAGTCTGAGTTCCTCTGATGCAAATAGGAAAAAGAAAACAGGTCAGGGGTATGGAAAGTTCTATGATTCCTGCCCTTGTCTTTCAGCTGTTGTGCTGTATCTAATGTGGACCCTACATACCCATAGTTCAGAAATAGCTCAGAACTGTAAACCATGTCACTAATAAGTAAGCAAACCTTGCAATATTATTTTGGTGAGACCATGGCTTTGGCAAATGGGTTCTGTCTTTCAAAATGCATCGATTTCCATATAATACAATACTTCTGTCATCTTATTTTGCAGCATGGTGTCCAGTGTTTCAACCCCTGCTATTTCAATGAAAAATGAGTATATTATCTGCACAAGAATTCTCATTTTCAAAGCAAGCAAACCTCACCTAGCTAAAACCAATCCCTTCATTTACCAGAAACCACCAGAGAATAAAACTAAAAAAGGATAGAAGGGATGATTTGATATTTTGACATCCTACTTTACTCAAGATCCAAAATGACTAAAGATCTGACAGGAAATAAAACAGTTTTGAAAAGTTGGATAAGGTGACAAAATTGAATCAGATGATAACATTTATAGAAAGTAGCACCTTCTGTGAATGACCAGTTATCAGAATGGATTGACTAAGTTTAGTGAGCATGTTCAGAATATAAAACAATGAAAAAGTAGCAAATGCACAGACACAAAATTCTTATGAAGAAAACATGGGACAGTTTTCAAACATATTTTTCAGTACACTATTTCTTTTATCTTGTGGGGAAAGGAATATATCAGGAGCAGACATCAACATGGTCACTACTTAAAAAAACAGTGATTGAATTTTTTCTTTTATTTGCCACAGTGTGCAGTTGCTGGAAAATACGGCAGTTCCCCCCCTTATCCATGGTTTCTCTCTCTCCACAGTTTGAGTTACTGGTAACCAGCTGTGGTCCAGAAGCAGGTGATCCTCCTTGTGATGTATCATCAGAAGGCCAATATAGCCTAATGCTGTATCACAATGCATGTGTCTTTTACCTCACTTCATCAGGTAGGCATTTTATCATCTCACATCATCACAAGAAGAAGGGTGAGTAGGGTACAACAAGATATTTTGGGAGAAAGACCACATTTACATAACTTTTATTACACTGTAGTTATAATTATTCTATTATTATTTATTGTTATTGTTCTTACTGTGCCTAATTTATAAATTAAACTGTATCATAGTATTTATTATGTATAGGAAAAACCATAGTATATGTAGGGTTTGATATTATCTGCTGTTTCAGGCAACCACTGGAGGTCCCGGAATATATCCTCTGCGGTTAAGGGATGACTACTGTATATTTCATTTTGCATTTTACCTTCCAACTGACAAAACCGTAACCATTTGTTCCAAATTTATAAGACTTATGTCTTTAGTCAGTAAGTTCTTGTTATACAGGCACTGTGCACCCAACAGGGAAGCAAACAGACAAATAGTAAAACCTTAGTTAACTGGAATGTGGGTATTAATAAAAGTAACTCCCCCCAAATACTTAAAGTTTTCTTTAGCAGAGATTTCTGTATTGCTAAAGGGTGACTTCTCTAAATACCAACTTTTACAATTCTAGGAAAGTAAATATGTAAGTTGATTTGATGGTATAGAACTTCTAGTGACTGAACACATTGTTTTACATACTCCTTTCTTTCTTATAATACAAATTAGGAAAAAGACTACGATAAAATTTGCAAAGCTCTGTCCAAACCAAATTGAGAAAATTGGGGCAGTTCTTCAAGAAATTTGTAATTTGCACAGATAAAGAAAATAAAGAAAAGCATGGACAGTAGAAAAACTATACAGAAGCAGAAATGGTTTCCCAGAAAAATGCATAGTTGTTGACAATTACTCTTGGCTCTCTGGAACCCATTTTATTTTTCTTTATATGCTTTCTATCCTTCCCTTTTTTAAAATCAATAGAAATTGGGTTTTTCATGTTTTATTCTAAAACTGTTTTCAGTTGACTGTGATATTAGGAGAACAGAAGGTAAGACTCCTGAGTGTGTTTGCATTAAATAAAAACGCCTTGAAAAGATTAAAACTCTTCTGGAACCACCAGGATAAAACAACAACACTGAAGGAATGAAAAGATATGATACAAATTCAGGAACAGGGAGTCCTGCCTCTGATCTCTTCAAATCACACTCCAATTACATCTGTTGTTAGGACAGATTCTATTAGGAAATAATCTCTAGCAAGGTAGAAAGTGAGGTGAAGTAGTTGTTAAATGTAATGAGAATTTAGAGAATAAATAAATCCTATATTTGCAATGCATAGGAAAAACCTCATGAGTACTTGGACTATAAAGACCGTCCACTTGTGCCTTCATCTCAGAAAATCAAAATGATGCTCTCCTTGGCTTCTGAGTACCTGAAACAGGAACCGCTCTGATCTCCATTTGCTGTGCCAGAGAGTTTGACCTAAGGCAAAGGCCACATATCCTGCCTCTTCTGAGCTTTTTAAGAAACTGTGTGAGATCTTCTGTGGCCTGCAGAAGGATCTTGAAGAAATGTTTTGAGTGCTATGAAAGACTATAGAAGTTAAACAGAAATGTATCAGGAACTTTAACAAAAAGGAAGCGAGAGTAATTGAAACATGATGACAAAGAAGAAAGTTTTTATGGTCACATGAATGACAAGTTCCAAACCCATTAGAGGGATCTCATTGTGCAAATGGCCTCCACATCCTCGATATCAGGGGCAGGAGGCCAAAAATGATACAAAATATAGAGAAAACAGAGAATAAGCATACAAATGGGTTTTGGTCTTAAAGGCTCTGTCAGCCTGAATGGGCCTCCCAGATAATTTTGTGGTCCAGTCAGCAAGCCATTGAAAAAGACTGGGCTCAGGTTTACGAAAGGTAGGACAAGTAAGTTGATAACTTCTACTCTTATCTTCTGAAGCTGGTCACCTGAGGGGCCTTATTTATTATGACTTCTTTCCCTAGCATTGAGCTATATGTCACTGAGTAAAGTCATATGGCCACATCTCATCCCTGCCTTGACCAGGAAGGTGTTAAGGAATTAAGGCAAAAAGAACATGGGTTCACAGCCTGGAGGCTCACTATAGAGCAAGAAGCATAGGACAATGGACAAGTAGTAGGAATTCATTACCTATAAAATAGTGCCCGACAAGGTAACAAAGACTATGTTCATGCATCTCAAGGAGAAGGAGAAGGAGAGAAAGAGGAAGAGGTGGAAATAAAAGGAGGAAGGGGGACAAGGGAATGAAGGAGGAGGAGGAGGTGAGAATTGGCTGTCAGAGGAAAGAAAGTTACAAGTATAAGCCAAGCACCGATGTTGTGCAAACAGTGTATATGTGGGGGAGAGCATAATGATTTCCTTAATGAAGAATGGCAACTCAAATTGGGGAGCAGAGCAAAGGCTTCGGTCTCTGTGCTGTTTATAAAGCTATTCATTAAGATTTCCTGAGTAAGAAGTCGTGTGATAAGTGCATATGAGAGTCATAGATAATAGCTTCTCAGTGCGCATTGGGAACTTAGAGGCCAATAAGTTTAACCTCCTGTTAGATGCTATGTACCTATCAGAGATTAGTCTTGCAGCTTAGTTATTAGAATGAAGAAAAACCTGTGATTATTAATATTAATTGCTTAATGATTAATTTAACAAAATGATTTAATCAAACAAAAGAAGGCTCCTCCCTTGTGAAAGCCTCAAGTTTCATAAATTAGAAATATCATGGTAAAATGAGAAACATTTGATCAAGTTCTGTGCCCATCTAAATAATGAAGATCTCATTCACTATTCATGAGGTTGATTTTTTTATGAATTATCTTCACATAAAATTCACATATCGCCACTCCAAACTAAATGATCATTCAGAGAAACCCTAACTCAACATAACATGTGAATTAGCAGTGCTTTGGAAAGGTATTTCTCACTAGGCTGGAGATGTGCTTCTACAATGTAGATTAATTAAAGGAGAATACTGAAGCCGAACAAATCATGCGGCAGTGACACAAAAGGGAACGTGGCAGACTTAATTCTCAATATTATTTAGAATACCATGGGAATAGAATTTAAATTCTGCTGTGAGAATTTAAACCTTACAAGAGAACATCATTTTGAAGTTAATACCATCAAATATCAGTTAAAATTTAGCTGAAGATAGTTATGTTGGGGGGAATTTTCTCAAGGACACTTAATACATCCGTTCTGCATCTACTGTCTGCTTCTGCTATCCCCCGTGGATTGGTAAAACACAAGGGCAGGTGCTGTACTTCAACATTGTTTAATTGGCCCCAACTTGCCATGTCCCATTCCAAGGATACCCTAGCCAGGTGCACACATTCAAGTGCACACACACACCAACATCCACATGCTACATGCACTCAGTTGCTTTACTGATTGTACTTTGGTATGAGGACATGAGGACATTAAGGGCTACAATGCATCATGGTGCTAGAACTGTGCAAAGGCACTGAAGTTGAAGTGTGTATTATAGTTATGAAGATTCTTGGGAGAAACTTCTTTATGACTCAGTGTCATGAATATGTGTGCCTTTTACAATTAATTAATTTGCTTTCTGTTGTGGACACTGATTTATATAGCTGATCACCTTTCTCTCTCAGCATTGCCAAGAGTAAGCTTGAGGTTTATCAGGGTTCTACTCTTAGCAAATATAAAGTTGTCTTCATATGCATCAATTCTAACTCCATGGTATTCCACAGGATCTCAGCCTGTGTCTGTTCCCCACCTGGTCCTTCTCATCTGTTTTCAGTGTTTGGCATCTTGCATCATTTTATCTACATTAAACACTGTTGTAAATCCACTTTTATCAAAAGCGTTTTTTAACTAAAATGAGAGATGGAAAGAAGGCAACTTTTCTAAAGGAAAATTTTTGTTTTTCAACAACCAAGTATTTGAAAAGAAAGGTTAGGAATAATACTTAACACAATATCACCATATCAGTATATAGCACTATCAATAGGAAACACATTCAAAAAAGCAAAATATAAAGTCAGTTGAGAGCTTTCCGTTTTTTCATAAAGAAAGTGGAGAACACGGAGAACAGTTTCTGTCAACAAAGCACTTTTGAAATCTGACTTTTACTCGATATAATTAAATTAGAAGTAAACCTATAGACCTAGTTAATATAAGGCTGTACCTATTTTTTTGAATGTTTATTTATTTTTGAGAGTGAGAGAGATAGAGCATGAGCAGGGAAGGGGCAGAGAGAGAGGGAGACAAAGAATCTGAAGCAGGCTCCAGACTCCGAGCTATCAGCACAGAGCCCGATGTGGGGCTTGAACTCACGAGCCATGAGATCATGACCTGAGCTGTCGTGACCTGAGCCAAAGTCGGACGCTCAGCTGACTCAGCCACCCAGGAACCCCAAGGCTATACCTATTTTTAACAATTTCGATACAATTTAATAAAAACCCAAATATTTTCTTCTATCCAAAACCCTGATCAAATCCATTAGGAGCTGTGGTTCTCCTTTCTTCATTTTGATTACACACAAAGACCAAGTGTACATTTCTTCTATAACAGGCTTGATTTTAAAAAGTACTAGATAATATGAAATACTAGTATACTAATGTTTGATGCTATTATTATTATCTTATTATCTGAATAGAATGAATTTCAAATGATATTAGAGAAAACCTACGTTGAATCTAGTCCTCCTCTGGTTATACTGATCATACCAATTTTCTACTTTCATCAGAGCTATCTTAATTACATTCCCTAAAAGGAGTTAAAATATCTATTTTAAAGGATAATTTAAAAATATATTTTAAGGAAAAAAGTATGAGGATAATGAGGTATCATCACATTGTAAGGTAAAGTATCTACCAGTAATTGAAGAGATTTTGAAGATAAAGGAGGAAATGAACTCTCTAGTGATAATCCATCAACCAGCCCTAAGAGTCAGATAGTGTAGTGAATTGTCATTTGGTAGCCTATCACCTCTCAACTATGAGGACACCATTTATACATTTTATTAAACTAAGAAACATACTCAGAACTTGTTAATCTTATATAATGA